GACATGAAAACTACTGCAGTGTTTCCGTAGTAGCCACATTAGACAACGCACCACCGAATGTTATATAAAGATATATACAATGATTTTCTAGTTTCTATTTACTCACTAATTTCTAACTCAGTCTCAAACCTGGGCCTGTTTTGTTGAACACAATCCTGTGTACTCACAGGAATTGAAGAAAGACACACAAAGATCTTATTCAACTCTAATTAGCCATCGGCTGCCACCTAGTGGACTAGTATTTGATTGTTCCGCTCGTCAATTTTGCATACAACAAAGACCAATTACTTGCAGTAAATAAATAAGTTTCTACAATAAAATGGTGCCACCTGATGGCGGGTCATGGTATAGAGTTAAAAGTTTGATCTTACCTTGAGGTGCTAGGTGCAGAGCCTCTTTGGCCTTTCTCTCAGGAACAAACTTCCACTGGAACACCGAGTGGTCTGCACCACCGATGGTTATCACCCACTGGTAGTCGTGTGACCATCTGGCGTTGGTTATGTGCGCTGAGTGACCCAGATATTTTTTAAACTTTGCACCTGAATCCGAGAAGAAACATATGTAAAGAACAACAGCATGCGACGATGCGATGATTCAATCGCTACAGTAAATTAATTTTGTCACTGTCAAGAACAACAGGATGCGACGATGCAATCGCTACAGTAAATTAATTTTGTCACCTTTCTTTATACACGGATAGCGAAAAAGCTTGACCAGTCCGTAGTCATCGGCTGTTACTAAGACTTGATTACTGTAGTTGGCATCCACAGAGTTGATGTCGTTGATATCTGAGTACTTGGGCCAGATACCATTCACTTCTGCGCCCAACACACATGTCCACGAAGCCCACTGCACCAGCTTCAGCTCCTCCCTGTTGGTCACCTCCTTCCCACCTGAACAGAGCAGGGACACTTTGTCTCACACTGCTGCTTTAAAACAAAATCATTTTTCAGAATGAAACACTCTCCCGCTCCTACTTGGCATTCTGAAGAAGAGCCTCCTGGCGCTGCCATTGTTGGTCTGCAGGTATTTGCTGTCCGTAGACCAGTCCATGTGTGTGATGAAGCTGTTGGAACCGATGCACTCGCCCACTTTCTTGTAGCGCTGCACCACGCCGTAGATGTCCACTGAGTTATCGTTGGAGCCCACGGCCAAATGGGCTCCATCGGGAGAATACTTGAGCTCATGGATGGCCTCCTTCCTGTCCTTGATGTGGACCACCTCGGTCATGTCCCTGAGGCAGAACGGAGGGAAGTCATACAACGCTGCACAATCTGAGGCGCTCGTTTCTTCTTTCAGTCCTCAATTGGAGAAGAAATGTTCCACCCACCTGACCCTCAGGACAGTAAAGGAGCCATCCTTCATTCCCAGCGCCAGGTGAATGCCATCGGTGCTCACAGCGGCACAGCGGATCGGTTCCTCCATATTACAACGTGCAATCAGCGCATGATCTATGAGGCTCCATATCCTGCTCACACAGAGGAGTGGGACAAACACAGACAGAAACAATTAACAGAGTACGAAAGGTCAAACATCAACAACAGAGATTCAACATGAATTTAATTTGTTATGAAGCTGCATGAAAAAAAACTTAAAAAGACACTGTCTAAATCACATTTGGCAAACCTAAGGTCAGCAGGCCAAATGTAATCGACCACATTATTTTATAGGTCCCCCACTGCTGTGTACGGTTGTCTTAAAATAAAATTCTAGAGCAGGGGTCAACAACTATATTTTTCAGAGGGCCAGAATTTTTCTTTCTGATGTCTTTTTTTTTTTGGAATTTAGTCATGGACCGGTTTGAACGGATCGGTGGGCCAGATTTGGCCCCTGGGCCCTGAGTTGATAGTCACAGGTTTATAGTATTGAATCTGTATTCTTGGTATTTACAGGATAGGTTAAATACAGTAGGTAAGACATGATCAATTTGAATTTTTCTCTAAAAGTGTACGCTTACGTAGAATTACCATAAACTACATCTCCCATAATGCACGTCAGTTTCATGACCTAATGTACATCCAACAGGATGTTCACCTGACGGAGCGGTCGTCACTTCCTGTCATGGCCAGTGGTTTGGTGGGGTGCACGGCCAGCGCCCACAGCTCGCCCTCACAGTGACCCTGCATGATGAGGAAGGGCTTGTTGCGGTCGTGGACCACTATCTCAAAGATCTCGCTGTCCTGCGTTCCCACGAGAATGTGATCTCCTCTCCAGCACACACTGCGCACGGACAGGCCTGTGAACACAACACCGGTCTCAAAGGAAGTGTCACACACACACAATGAATCCTATTGTCACACTCACTGTAAGAGACATGGGACGGGGGGGTCAATAAACACACAGGCTAGTTATAATCACTGACAGCTAAGGCACAGATTTATTCTTTATTTCTACCAGTTAAATTAACATTACATGTTATTAAAGGGACTGTATGTGTTTTTTTAAGTGTGGTAAAAGCAGATGGACACATACTGTACATGTACAGTAGTCAGTGCTGGGACGTGGACGCTAACTGAAAACATGGCTCCAGTAAAAGGAGAATCAGGTTTTAATCAATCAACAAGTGGATCAACAAATGAAAAAAATGACTGTTTAAATCACTAAGGTCTTCTGACAAAATCAACAATTTCACATTGAATTTAGGACAGGATGGTGTGATTTGAGATCTTTCATTCTTTCATCAGGTCCACCTTGGTGAATTATCTAATCTGACCTCATTGGTCTGAAAACCATTATTTATTTTATCTTCTTCTGTTTTGTGTCTCTGTTCAATCCCTGTCAGTATGTCAGTGTTGTGTTTAACTAAACAGGCCCAGATTTCACACCGAGGTTTTGTGAGTAAACTTAAACTGGAAGATCATTATATTCTATTAAATATACATATTGAGACACACATATATTCTTGAAATGTGAAAAATCCATCCAAAGGCTTAAAATCTGTTTTCTTTGCATTTGTTTTCAGTTTGTCTAAAAGTCCCAGCACTGACTGTGCAGGTTTAACCAGACCTCACAAAAATATGAACAATCCTTTACAACTGACCAGCAGGTGATAGGAGGGAACAGAGAGAGTATAGGAACAGTGAGAGAAAGTCTGTTACAGTACACAAATGTGAAGAGAACATCTGTATACAGCGGCGGTACAACGTGAGGAGGACTGACACAAACACGGCGACAAGGTCGTTAACTGAGCCTGCAGCGACTTTACCCACCTCGACTATTTGCACCTCTAGCTACTGTTAGAGGTCCAAGGTATTTTCACACAAAAGTTGGAGAAAAATAGAGGAAAAGAAACGAAGAGTTAAAAAGAAAAGCAAAGCTTACGATGAACGGGTGCAATGATCTGAAATCTGAAATATCCTTTACTGTAACTCCAAAACTTGATGAAATCCTTTGAAATTTCTCAACAGTTTTTAAAAGTCTATTTTTTTCCATTTCCCTAAACTTGAAAGATAATTAAAAATAACTTGATTTTAGTCCGTAGACCAGAGAAAGACATTCTACAAAGATGAAATGATCAAATGGAAGTCTCCTGCAGAAGTATCAAAACTAAATGGAAGATATGTAAAAAAAAAACATGTTATTGCCTCAAAAAATAACTGTCTTAATTCTTAAAACTAATTGACTTACCATCACACATAAAACATGTCATTAAATACAACAAAAAAGTAAAATAACATGACTTCCATAAGGGGGAGGAGGTTCTTTATCAAATACTATACAAAGTACACAGTATCTCATGGTTACGCAGTAAGATCAATAGTTCGCAGTTTAATGATGGCTCTTGGGAGAAAACCTGCTTCCTTAACCCGGAGACTGGGGCTCAGATGGAGCGGCAGCTCCTTCCAGATGGCACCACAGAGCTGAGCTGGATAGAGGGACACACTGTACAGTGTCCTCCAGTGTTTCTGCAGCTCTGGGTACGAAGGCAACGAGGGGTGGGCAGCAGGAGTCTGATAATTTCCTGGCATATTTTAATGACTCTCTGGGGGAGTTCTCTCTCTCTCTGCTTCTGTGCAGTTGGACACCAGGCTGTGATGCTGTGTCAGAACACTCTCAGGAGAGTGGTGATAAAAGGCCTTCAGCGGCTCTGGAGACAGGTTAGTCTCTTTAAGTGTCTCCAGGAAAAAAAGAGCTGTTTTTGAGCCAAAATTGTTTTTACCACTAGTACAACCATGGTGACAGAACAGAGACGCTCTGCTGGGAAACTGGTCCAAAGAATATTTAACTTCATCTTGGGTTTCATACTCTAAGGATTTAAGGATTTTTCTGGTCAGAGCAAAAATGTCTACCATGAACTTAATAATTAAACACTAGGCTGGTGATCATCAACGGATGGCTCACGGGCCAAATCTGGGCACACCAGACCGTCTAACGCAGTGTTTCCCAAACTCTTTTTCTGAGTACCCATATTTTATTTATTATATTTAAAAGTCACAAACCTTGACGTGACCCAAGTCAATAGACATTTTTCGTAAACTCCTGGGAAATATGATGCAAGACGACCCCAAAAAAACAAACATCTGAGGGTCACGACCCAGCCTTTGGGAAACAATGCTCTAACTAAGCTCCAACTGGAGTCCAAAATAAACATCAAATAATATTTTTAGATAATTTTTACTTTTACACCAAGGTGTCTGTCCAATAATTCCTGGCCCTCTGATAAATATTGTGGGTGACCTCTGCTCTGGACTATAATATTGAACAGACTACACCTCCTTTTGTTCATTGATTTATGGAGAAGGTTACCTGGGTGTTTCTGGAGGTCAAAGTTTTATTGACATCTGTTCACTGTGTGTTGTCAGACTGCAGTTTTCACCAACCCAGACAGTTTAATGGAAGGGTGTATACAGTAGTGAAGCAGCTTTTACTCCCTTAAAAAAGGAAAACCTTTTTAACCTCACCTTTATATCCTTGATCTGTTTCCCTGAGATCGATGACAGTAATTGGTTTGAAGTTAAGATCCCACAGCCGGACGCAGCCGTCTCGGCCCCCGGTGGCAAAGCCCTCCTCGCAGGCATTCATGCTGAAAATCCCTGACTGGAGGAAATGACAAGCTGTCAGTGAGGATCTGTGGGATAAATGAGCAGCAACAGAACCAGCCCGGCTTCAGAGCATGTAGTCCTGCTGCTCGACCAGGCATTTGTTCAACAAGGCTTCAAAATGACAAACCTGCTCCAGCGGCTTCAGGCTTTTTTTTATATTAGAGGAAGTGTTTACACTTGTTTTATTATTACTTCTGCCTCCCTGAAACCCAACACAGCTATTTGCCATTGCAAAGTCGGGAATACGTGAAAAACAGTTTTATCCCTTCCCCCTCCTTCTGGATGCATCCATCTCTTCACCCAGCTGCTCTCCTCACAAATATCATTTAATCCTGTTCTACTGTGTCGGCAGAAATAACACCGGGCTTCAAACCTGGTCAGGTTTTACTGTTTTATTATTATAGAAATTGAAAAGCCGCTTGGGGTATGAAAAAAAAATAAATAAAAAAATGAGCCGTCCTCACCCCATGAGCTCCTTGCACTGTCCTTATCAGGTTGATCCCTTTCCACACGTAGATGTCGCCGTTCAAGGCACCTGAATACGTGATCTCGTCTTTCGCACAGGCGAGGCAGAGGATGGTCTGGAGGTCGCCGGTTTTCCCAAAAACGCCACGTTTCGGTGTGAGCGCGTTTCCACACAAGCTCCAAAACTGTGAGGAGAGAGTGAACGTGTGTAGCAGCTAATAATCCCCTGTGTAATCCTGTTCTGAGGGAGCAAATGGATAATTATGTAGCATTTGGGAAGAGGGTAAAACCACAAGGTCATTAAGGGACAGGCTCAAACACACGGAAAACTGCAACCAAAGTCATATTTAAATAAACCTTCACCCCTCACTGCCCCCCGCCGACCCCCCCCCCTGCCTACACACACACACACACACACACCCATGTCAGTGTGTTAATGTGATACTGTGAGATACTCCTAACAGGCTTTATCGCCTTAACCACCTCATCAACATGCACAGACGCAGACACACGTACCCATACGGGCCGGTTCATTATTTATGGACAGGGTCATTGGGATGCACAGACACGGCCCGCATCGAAGAGCTTACATCAAGCGGAGGAGGTGAGGGCGAAAAAGAGACGCTCCGTCTGCATGGAGATGAGATCATGAGGGAGAAAGCTCACGGACGGCGTCTCGAATGCTGAGACTACACGGCTGTTGACACGTGAAACCAAAATACACTAATCACTGGCGAGCAGCAGGGAAATGTCAGGAGGAGAGTCGTTTTTCTGCTCTACCTCAGGATTCACCTCCCTCCCTCACAGCCCACGCTTGGCTCACCGCTGAAGGTTATATTTTACACCGCACTGAATCTGTCCCCGGAGACAGGAAAACGTAGGTGTTTGTGTGTTGTTTGCCATCACAAAAGACGGTGGACGGGACGGACAAATGAGAGACAAGAGGTTGTCACGCCATGGCTAACACCTGACCTCCAGTCTGATAGGGCCAAGGTGTGCTAACAGGACGGCTCGATTATCAGAGGTAAACGCTGTGGCCTCAGATCAAGCTCTGACGTCAAACACTGTCTGAGCAGAAACAAAATATAATTTGTGTTCCCGCGGTCTTAACTACGTCTGAGTAGCGCGTGTGGGAGAAAGTGGGAGAAAAAAAAAATCAAAGGTATGAGAAAAATCTAAAAAAATCTAAAAATCAGGCTGCTCTGTGTGTGCAGAGGTTCAGTAGAGTGTGTAGGGCTTGGATGGAGGGGATGTGATCCAATCTGCTGCAGGAACAGCAGAGATGTGGGCAGGCTGACGGCACAGTAAGTCCTGACCACTACTGATAAGGGCAGGAAAACCCGAGCACCAGCTAATCCCCTCACTACGGAGACAAGATGAGATGAGATGAGATGCTGCAGAGGTTTACGGTGAGGCCAGACACAGAGGGAGAGCGAAGCAGAGGGGGGAGGGTGAAGGCTTATTATGGTATAAAATCAAGGATCTGCCAACAAGAAACCACTCACTCCTCTAAAATATTATTTTCCTTCTTTCCATTGAGTCACGCTTGTGGTTAGAGGAAAGATGCCGTCCTCAGCTGAAGGACTAATTCAGTTCCATCAGTTCTGTTACCTCAACCATTCCCAGATGAAAGACGTTGTCTCTGTTCTCATCAGAGCGCTGTTCTTTTTACTGTGACGTTTTTTCTACATTTTTCACATCATGTTGTAATACAACTCATTTTCACCACGGGCCACATCAGCATCACAGTTCCCCTTGAAGGGTCGGTTGTAACCAGAAGACTGTACCAGTCCATAGGTCAATTTACTTCATTCCAAAAAAATCCTGTCATATCCATTTACTTTTTTTTAATTCAAAGATAATCTGGCAATATTTTAAGGTCAAGGGTAACAGGTGGTACTGGCTGACCAGTCCTTGGAACAAAAAAAGGTCAGGGACCGCTGGTATCTCTGCAATTGATTATTATTTGTCGAAGCTACAAATATTGTTCATTGTTGTGTTATTATTTTTTTAATTATATAGGTGAAAAAACTCTGCTGCATGGACTTTATTAAACGCTTTTTAAGATCCCGCGGGCCACACAAAACAGTTTGACGGGCCGCATTTGGCCCCTGGGCCTTGGGTTTGACACATATGTTATAATATATATGACAGAGGTGTGAACCCAGGTCAACTCCAGGCTTTTATACACTGGACACACTATATGAATTTGAATGTGATTTGAATGTGTGAACTGTGGAGACAGTATTTGTTGAAATTAAATTTGGAACCTTTTTAATAACAGCTCATTACTGAAAGTATCTCATCTGTCATTTTACAGAATAAAGCCCAATAAAGTCCTATTATAATAAAGAAAATAAAAATACTAATAATAAAGATGTAACATGAGCCTCGGTTTAACTGGAAAAAGAAATTAAAAAACTTTTAGCGCCCCCAGAAGGTTGGGATGGTAACTGCTCTGGGTATAAAAAGCATCAACCATAGAATAAATCTTTGTACTGACCTATAAGTGAAAGTGAATTATTTGTCACTGCACACAACCAAATGTGACCTCGACATTTCACCAATCACCAAAGTAATGGGGCAGGGGACAGCTTTAGTAGCCAGGGGCGGTGTGGGGACGGTGCCATGCTTAGTTGTAACTTGACAGCTGGTGGACCAAAAGCTAAAACCTTCTAGACCCAAGTCTGCTTGCCTAAACACTAGGCCACCACTGCTCCAAAAGAAACCACCCCAGATGGGACTCGAACCCACAATCCCTGGCTTAGGAGGCCAGTGCCTTATCCATTAGGCCACTGGGGCTATAGAGAGTGTGAGTTACACTGGCCCTCACACCAGACAACTCTGCTCTGCGCTCCTCTAGGACTGCACCCTTACCACTGCTATTCACTCTGACTCAGTACCATTACTTTATTCTTTCTAATAATTAACATAATTAACATTCACAAACAGCTGAAGGGTGTGGAGCTAAATGGATGTAAAACAAATCAAAATGCAAATGCAGTTGTGAGGAGTGCGAGGAGTCAGTCGTGCTCCTCTTCACTTAGGTCGTGGTTTCTCGTGGATGGATTACTGTGGCTAAATCTCTGGGATTGTGCTATAATCGCTGAGAGAGCGCGGGGGCCGGAGAGCAGATGTCACATGGTCTGCAGGGTAAAGGCTGGAGAATTATGTAGGACAACTGGTGGATTGTCGTGACCTCAGCCATCCAGAAGGAGGAAAGAGATGAGGAGGTGGAGGAGGAGGTGGTGCAGAACAAAGAGCAGAGGATTCAGGGTCACGTTCTGTGGCTGGAAAATGTTTTAGTTCCCCCATAGAAAGGAGAAGAGTTCACGTGGGGAATTCCTACAACAGCACGGAGATCCGGCTGGATGGAGGTGACGTAGACATCAGGAGGACGGGGAATTATACAGGGTGTACGGTAGCTCACGGGTTGAGAACCATTCTAATGTGATGTACGTTCAACATCTCAGCATCTTTATCATAACTGTGTAACTAATATACAGCCAACAGGCACTAACTCAGTTAGATAAAAGCACCTGTCTAGTAAACAGGAGATCCTGGGTTTGAATCCCTGCAGTGCCTTTATTCTCTTTAATTTCCCAAAGGGACAAATAAAGTTCTATCTAATACAGTATTACGTAGTGTAACTCCTAGTCATAAATTAGTCATATAAATCTGGTATATATATATATATCTGCCATAATAATACCATAGAGATAATGTGATACTTTACATCAGTATACATAATTTGAATTTAATTGAATAATAGAGAATATATAATTGCTATAACAACACCACACAGGACAACAATAATTATCCACTAAAATGCTACTACTGCTACTGAACTACTAATCTACTAATAATGTTCAGGTTTTCCCTATTCTTTAAGAAAGGGGTAGGGGTGGGGGCAGTGGTGGCTCAGTGGTTAAGGAAGCGGACTTGGGTCTGGAAGGTTCCAAGTTCGAGTCCACCAGCTGCCGAGTTACCACTGAGGTGCTCCGAGGATGGCACCCTAAAAGTTGCCCACTTCACTTTGGTGATGGGTTAAAAGCAGAGGTCACATTTGGTTGTGTGCTGTGTCACAATGACAAGGAGTTCAGTTTCTATTTCTATTTATGGTTTGCTGCTATTCCTGTTTGTATTTTATTGAATCTATTCTTGTGGTATTCCTGTTGTTTTGGTGCTGTAATGCTGCGGGAGCTTTAATTTGACAAAGGGAATTAATAAAGTTTTATCCATCCATTCATCTATCCATCATCCATCCATCTATCATCCATCATCCATCCATCCATCGATCTATGCATCTATCTATCTATCTATCATTCTATCTATCTATCTATCTATCTATCTATCCATCCATCTATCAATCCATCATCCATCCATCTATCTATCATCCATCCATCGATTTATATATCTATTCTATGTCTTCCAATTTTCCACCAATGTCTCAGAAACACGTGCCGCACTCCTTATTTTGGTCCTAATGGCTACTCTATTCAAAGAACACCACCTAATACATCCCCAGGGAGGACTGGCAAAGGACACCGTACATGAACTTCATTGAAGATTTATGAACACACACTCCTGTGTGACATAGATGGAACGGTCATAAGACCCTCGAGGGGCGCGACCACAGCTGCGGTGGTTACTGTGCAGGGGGCTCTGAAAGGCAGAGTGATGGGTCCACCGCGCCTGAACCACTTATTCCAAGTGGCTAATGAGCATGGATTCTGCAATAAAGGGAATTTGCATTCATCTATCTGAAGGCTTTGATGTGGTCATGGTGATAAGGCAGCAGCAGCGGAGAGCGAGGCTCAAAGCCTGAAGATTTCCTAAACTTCTTCAGAAAAAAAAGGGAGAGTTTTATGGTAATGAGCACAGGAAGCTCTCAGCCCAGATCTACATGGAGCTGGTACACACGACCAGGGAGCAGCTGTACCTTGATATGTTTGACACCGCAGCTTACGAGTTTGCTCGGCTGGTACAAATCCCACGATATGTCAAATATCTGAAAAGAAGGGGAAACAAACAACGTTAATTAATTGCTGCTGGTGGAGATACAAAGGACGTCTGAATAAACAATGAACAGACTGGGATTCTTTTATTGACTTCAGTCAACAATAACTACTGAGAATTTTTTTTTTTGGCACAATCATCATTTTAATTATGGTGAGTCTACAACAATTCAATTAGTTTGGAATGAAACTAAAATGTTCTACAGCAGTGGTTCTCATCCTTTGGCTTGTGACCAGAGAGATTATTTTTTTTCTTTACAGAACTATTTTTTTATCATGTTTATTATACTCTGTTGCAAATACAGAGTAGCCAGAGCCAAAGTGACATTTTTTCCCCCTGATCACATGTAGCTTCGCTTGTCTTGAGATCACGGCTGTCAATCAAGATGCCAGTTTGGATATTTTAATTTGCTAAATTTTATTTGAGGTGAATTTATATTGATGAAAGTGAAAGAATACAGTTACTTAAGATTGTGTGGTGTTTTGAATCATAATTTTACAAAGAATAATTATTAGTTGAAAAAAATATTTTTATTAGTATTTTTTTTTAATCAATTACTAAACATTTGACCCGACTTCATTTGAAATCCAGGCCAGGTCACAAGCCCAAGGTTGAAAACAGGTGTTAAAAACAGGCTAAAAAAAATCATAATTTTAAAAAAGAATAATAATTACTTGAAAAAATATTTTATCGGACATTTTAAATCAATTACTAGACACTTCAGTTGACTCCATTTGAATTCCTGGTGTCACCACTTGGGGTCCGCAATCCCAAGGTTGAAAAACACTGTTGTAAAGTGGGTGCAAACTGAGAATGCTGAAAAAAAAAATCCAAAGATCCTTTTCATCCTTTAACCTTCCTTTCATTAGTCACATGTCTTTTCAAAAAGCCCTTTAAAAAGCTAACAATCAATCAGGCCTAACTGGTTTATGTCTCCTTTGGACGTGCAGGCCATCCATCCACCCGCGTTCATAGCTAATTGAGGTGGTCGATATGTGGCTGCTGATGGAGACGGTGGAAATGGAAGAATGTGTTTACCCGGTCTGTATGTCCGGGAGCTGCTGCCAGAACCTTCCCTCTCCTCCAGTCCCACACACAGATTGTGTTTTTAGAATCCAGGCCCACGGACACCAGGCACTGCAAAGAGAGCAGATGAAAAGACGCGCGTCACGGATCACGCAGACTCTGCCGTGCAGCTCTGACGACTGCAAAACAAACCTAAGGTTTGCCACCTTGGTTGTCACTGTAGCGTGCGGTGCATGTGATGGGAGTGCACTGTAAGTATGGAGGAGAACAGTTGTCCAGCCTGTGGCACTTCCACTGAGCACATTTGAGTGCTTTTGCTGGAGGAGCCTCCTATAGCTCAGAGAGTGAGTGAGTGAGTGAGTAGGCAGCAGCAGCAGCAGCAGCAGCAGCAGCAGCAGGAGCAGCAGGGGGGCAG